CCTTGAAATTTCAGGGCCTTATTATTGCTTCAAATGCTCAAAAATCTAGAATAAAGGCTTGAATGACTCACAATGCACCATTTCCCTACCCCATGGCCAGCTTTAGCCCAGGTTTCAGAACCTATATGCCCCTTCCCTTTAAGAAAAGAGGGTACAGCTTCCACCCCAGCGGAGATAGGGCTGAGGATACTCAAAAAGCCAGCATGAACACAGCGGTCCTCTACTTGCTCGCTTCCCAAATGGTGTGCTCTAGGGAGGATTCAGAGGTGCTACCCTGTTTGAGAATTTTCCCCTTCTCAGTCCTTCCTGGCGAGCCTCAGTCCCTCAGTCATTTTTTTTTTCTTTCCTTCTGGATCTTTTTTTCTTCCTTTGCCATTATCTCTGCTCTCCCAGTCCCCCTGGGGTGGAAGGGAGAGGGTTAAGATATTCTGCAAAGGCAGCTCGTAAAGCTGCTTGGATACATTAGAAACACATGAATATCCTGAAATACAAAGTGTCTTTAAAACCAACCAAGGAATGTTTATCCTAATGCTGGATAGATGCAAAGAAGTAGTGCCAGGAAGCAGTGCTGACAGCGTCCTCCAAGTTAAAGTGAGAGCAGGTAAATTTCATTTGCAAATGAAAATCAAATTCAATTAAACCTTGGTTACCCTTTGTCCTTTTTTTCTTCCAACCCTGGGAGAGGAGGGTACCCTGTCCCAGGCTGTCATGGAATCCCCCACCCAGAAAAACCTAGCCAAGTCTTTGTCTTCAGGGGGAGGCTCCAGGGAAGCCAAGGCCCGACAGGATGCCCTGGCCCGACCCGGGAGGTAAGAAGCCAAGGCATTTTGGAGCAGGAGAAAGGCTGTGGAAACGCCTTGAACAAAGGTTTTGCTGCTGCTGTGCCCTCAGGTTCTGCCAGCATTGCCCTCTCAGGGCTCTTCCAGAGAAATCTGGGCACATCAGGCAGAGGTTGGAAAATGACCCTAGTCTCTCCAGCCTCCACTCCTGCAGTCCTCTGCTTGACTCTGTTGCTCAACTGGCCACTGCTGCCTGAAAATCCCAGTGGGTGCCTTGGCTTCCACAGCCTAACCCATGGGGTGTCTGAGGATTAAATTGTTAAGTTGATGGTACTTCTCTGCAATCTTATAGGAATTCCTGAGCCTGGGGAACCAAAAAAAAAAAAAAAAAAAAAAAAAGGAGGAGTGTGGCTCAGAAAGGTCAGACTCCACTAGCTGGGCAGACAACCAAATTTTCACCTTACTTTTGAGAAAAGACGAAGAATGCTGGGAAGGTCCACAATCCCTTCCCAAAACATAGTCTGGTCTTCATTGTCCTCTGACCTTTCTTTTTCCACAGCAAGCCATTTTTGTGGCTGCCTGGTGGATTAAGAAACCATATTGAGAACCATTAATGAATCTCATATTCTTCAGTGAAAGACGGAAGAACAGTGATTATTCTTACTTCAAAGTGTGTAGAAATTCTAGAAACTCAGATCCAAAATTATCCACAGAGCTCATTCAAGTTCTCTAAACCATTCCTGCAGATTGATGGCTATAACTCAATATCTAGAAGGACATACAGACATTTAAAAATAGTGAAGGCATGCCAAGACGCCTGGTAGAAAAATCACATCATATATATATCGAGATCCAAGACAAGAAGGGACAAGCAGGCTGCCTCCCTCTAAGTAACCATATCTGGAGAATTTTTTAAAAAATTGATAGGGAGACATAAATCTCAATAATTCTAGCCCCAGGCCCTTGCTTGGAGGGGGTGCCACGTGTGGAAAGCAAAGCAGAATGAATTTGAGAAGCGACCCAAAGCCTTCCTCCCTGCCCCACCAGGCGCTATTGCTCCCAGACAAACCTGCTTGTGGCTCCTCAGAGGACAAGATGAAATCTTGTCTCACCATTTTTGGTGTGGAGGGACCCAGTCGACTTTGGCAGTCTGAAGCTGAGGCCCTTCCTCTGTTCGCTGGTCTCCCGGCTCGGGTGAAGTGGGCGGGGGAGGGAAGAATGTAGAGCTGGCCTTGGCCGATGCGTGCACCAGCAACCGCGCCACGGCCAGAGGTGAGCTGGCACAGGCGCCGGCTGAGGGGGGCTTCCCAAGCTGTGTTTTCGTTTTTCTGGGTCTGGCTGGAAAACAGAATAGACTACGAAACCCCAGCCAAGAGCAGGGCGGAGGAAGAGAAGAAGAGTCCGTAAACACCGCCCCAAAAACTCTACGAAGGCAGAAAAAAAAATGCTGAGTAGCCAAACAGAGCCAAAAACTAGAATTCCGGAGTAAAAGGGAATTAAGAATGAGGGGAGATGAGCGGTGGGCCTTTTGCAGCCGCCTTAGTCTCCAAGTGTGCGAGGCAGTTTTCTCACGCTGACTAGACTGCAACTTTCAACTTGACCTTGGCCTCCAGCCGTGTCTGACCCGTATGTAAAACCGCCCTCAAGTCCCTAGGAACTGGGGCCTCGAACCCTACTCTTTTTCTTTGTCACCGTGAGTTTTACAATGCCACTTGGAGAGAGGAAGGGGGTGGGGGATGAGGAAAGGGCCGGAAAGTAACACAAAAATCAAATCTTTACGGAGTCTGGTTCCTTAGTTTGCAAATGACCATTCAGGGAGAAGGTAAACTGGGGGCAAATCAATATTTACCCAGAACTGCTAAAAAGTCAAGAGGGAAAGGAAGCACTGGGTGGGGGGGAGGGGAGGGCTAGGGGGTGTAAGAGAAGGTTTTATTGGGCGACACTTACATTGGTCAGGGCAAGCTTGGAATCTGGGCAGATAAAATCCTAAACCAGCTTCATCAGTCTGGACCATGCAGGAAGCCCAGGGTGCTTGAAGAGCAAAGCAGTGGGGTGGTACATGCAGTGCCCTGAGTTTAGGGAGAGTCTGCAAGCTGGGACCAAAGAGCAGGTCCAAGCCTGGCTGCTCACCAGTAGCCTGAGAAGGAAGGGAGTCCAGTACTCTCCACAGCTTGCATGGTCCCGAATGTGCCCACTTTCATTTTGAATGCCTGTTCCCTTTATGGACAACTGACCAGCTCACAGTCACAAAATCAGAAGTGGAAGTATTTGGCCCCAAAGTGGCAGGATCTTCAAAATCCCTCACTAAAACATGATGACTCCAAGAGGGGTAGTTGCTTTGCTCTGCCAATACCAACATCCACCATGCTCCCAGGAAAGGGTTGCATTTCCTAGGCACAAAGGAAAGACTTCTAGGTTAGTTCTTGGGCACTGGGCACCCTCTGCAGGTTGGAGCACCAACTTGGTGGGGAAGGCATTGAAGCAACCCCTTTCTCTTCCCAAACAGAATGAAATTGTGGGATCCCAGATGCCAAAAGTCAGGTCCACCCCAGGCTCTATGCAGCAGATTGCTGAGGCCCCAGATCTGAGGCTGGAGTTCCAGTCAACAGCCCAGCTGGAGCCTGGTCCTCCAAAGCCCCTTCCAGGAAAAGCCAGCAGAACTGGTGGGACAGGAGCACGGTGAATGGTGATCTTTCCATCTCTGTCTCTGAAGAAGGAGGAAGAATTTTACTGGGTCAGAGTGAGAAACAGACTATATTCCTAAGTGTGAAGGCGACTGTGTGCACGTGTGTGTGTGTGTGTGTGTGTGTGTGTGTGACTGTAGGGTATCATAAGTTGTTCAGAGTCTGTGGGCCTAAATGTAAGTGTATAAAATTGCCCACTGACATAGGTACAAGGAAGGGAAAGGAGCTCCTAAATGCAGTCCAAGTTTTCCAGTGGAATGTCCTGGGATCCATGAGCCAGGCCTTTCCGAAACAACCAACAAGCAGCAAACGCCCTGTCCCTGTTCCCCTGGAAAGAGAGCCAAATTGAGAATGTGACATTGGCGAAGCCAAAATTCGCACAGTAGACCTAGGGTCTCCCTGCTTAAAGATACCTAGAAAGAGAACCTCCCAAAGGCCCCAAGAAATACCCAGCTTGAGCTGGGCTGATCCCATCCTCCCCATTCTCTCATCCCTGGCCATTGCTGGATTTACCTGACCAGTCCCCACGGCCTCAGGTCGCAACCCAACTGCTTGCCCACGTCCCCTCCCCGACTCTTGCGCTGAGCTGGTCCTCACTGGGATAAGGGAAGGGAAGGGGGGATGCGAAAGTCACGCCCTTCCCTTCCTGTCCCACCCGCCGGGTTTTCTATACCCCACCCGCCTGCGTCCCCCTCCTCTCCCTTGGGTGTGCGCGGCGCGGCCGCGCGGC